GACCTGTGCCACACTCCTGGCAACCACCCGGCCTTTGCACATGCTAGTCCTTCTAACTGAAACGCTCTCCCGTTCCTTCTCTGCCCAGTTAACTTCATTCTGCCCAGAGGACTCAGCTCAAGGCTCCCACTTGGAGCATCCTTCCTGGCCAACCTGTCCTGGACAGCTGGTTCTAAGGGCAGCTCATCTCTCATCTGTGACACCTGCAGCACGAGGAGCCGTGCACCCTTCCGTGTGTGTCCTGCTCACCATCGTATCCCTGCAACCTAAACGCAATGTATGGCCAGTAGCTCAACAGGAACTTATCGAGTGAGTGAACCTCTAGTGGTTGCCATTTATATGCTGGTTCTGGAACATTCCCTGACATGCAGCCAAAAACCCAATAAACAACCTGGGTCCTGAAGCCCTTCAGCGGAGCCGAAACAAAATCAGGTGAGGAGAAAGCTTTTTATAGCATTCTCATCGGGGCCGGCTCCCATAAAAAGATTTTAGATTCGAACGTTCAAAAGGTCTTTTTAAAGGGCTAAAGAACTGGAGGGGCCCCTGGGTGGCTCCGTCGGTTAAGCTCCGACTTCGGCTCAGGTCACGATCTCCTGGTTCGTGAGTTCGAGCCCCGCGTCGGGCTCTGTGCTGACAGCTCGGAGCCCGGAGCCTGCTTTGGATCCTGTGCCTCCCTCTCTCTCTGCCCCTCTCCTGCTTGCTCTCTGTCTCTCTCTCTCTCAAAAATAAACAAACATCAGGGGTGCCTGGGTGGCTCAGTCAGTTGAGCATCCGACTTCGGCTCAGGTCATGATCTCACGGTCCAGGAGTTCGAGCCCCGCGTCAGGCTCTGTGCTGACAGCTCAGAGCCTGGAGCCTGCTTTGGATTCTGTGCCTCCCTCTCTCTCTGCCCCTCTCCTGCTTGCTCTCTTTCTCTCTCTCTCAAAAATAAAATAAACATTAATAACAATAATAATTTAAAAAGGGCTAAAGACTTGGAAATGCATGGGCGACACGTATAGGTTACACCAACACTGTTCTGAAGGGAGTAAAGGGAAAGACCGTCTAGTTTTCCAAGTTCATATCCATACCTGCTGCCCATATCTCCCCTCTCTTCCCTCTCTGCTGCTCCCCCCAAAGAGAGTCTTGGTTTTATAACAGCATCCAAGTTATAACAAAGATGGGCAGTGGGTAAAGTTTCAGAGCTCTGTCCACTTCTAGCAGCTAAATCCTACATATTCACCCCTTAGGACTGATCGCAAGGTGGCGACAGTCCTTCAGTGCTCCCGGTAGCGGTCCACACAGTATAATTCTGCAGCTTTTCCCGAGACTGCTGCCTATGTCTCCTCCCTTCAGATCTGGGCTGTGACCTACTCTGGCCAACACAACACAGCCAAGTAACACAGGGCCAGCTCCAAGGCCAGGCTTCAGGGGGGCCTCATGGGCTTCTCTACTCTTTGTTTCGTTCTGTTTTTAATGTAATTTATTGTGAAGTTGGCTAACATACAGCGTTACATACGTAGATTCCCGTGATTCATCGCTTACACACAACACCCAGTGCTCCTCCCCACAGGTGCCCTCCTCAGTGCCCATCACCCGTTTTCCCCTCTTCCCTGCGCCCCCCCACATCACCCCTCAGTTTGTTCTCTGTATTTAAGGGTCTCTTATGGTTTGCCTCCCTCTCTACTCTGAATGCTGCTCAGCCCAGGCTCATCTGCCAGAGGATGAGGGGCCCGTGTCCCCATTCACCCCCATCATCTGAGCCAAATGCCAACTAACCCCCAGAAGCCGACCTGCTTGCCGACTGGCTGCTGAGTTCAGATGTGGGTGGCCTGGCTGAGACTTACAGGAGCTACAGCCGAACTCAGCTGCGGGTTAGCTGCCCACAGCACTCCCCGCTCCCTCCCGTGCGTCATGGCAGGGCCTGCCTTCCATGAAGGGCTGAGACCGCAGGACGGGACTGCCCTCCCAGACTCCCTTGCACCAGGCGTGGGCACGTGACCTAGCACCGAGCAGTGAGATGTCAGAAGAAGTCCACGGGGGACTTCCTGATAAAGAAAGAGACCCCTGAGAAGAAAAGTGCCTGCCCTCAGCCCTGCTTGGGTTGCTGCTGGGGAGGATGGGCTGCTTAGCAACCTGCTGCAGTCATCATGTCACCTGACAAGCTGCAGATGACACAGGGAAGACACGGAATGAGATGGGGCCCAAGATGAGCTTGTTGGGCTGAAGGTGTCTGTGCCTTGTAGGTGGAGACATCGTTACCGCCGCATCACGGGAAACACACAGGCCCTGGGGCCTCACCTGAGACCGTGTGAGGTGTAGAGATGCTGACTGTGGGAGAGGGATGGGGCTTCTCACGCTGGCTTCAGTATTTCAAAAGGACCAGCAGCGATAACATTGCCCGGAGGAAGGCTGCTCACGCTGGCAACACGGCTCGTGGCCCAGAATTGGTCAACTCAGTCTGGTGATAAAGCTTCACCCATGCTCACTAGCCCCAGACTGGCAGTCAGGTCTGTGTCGGATCAGTTCGAGAAACAATTGACCAACCTGTTACTGTTTTATTTCCTTTAACGTTTATTTACTATTTCCTTTGGGAGAAAGAGACACGCAGAGGGGCGCAGAGAGGGAAACCCAAGCAGGCTCTGCCCCGTCAGCGTGGTTCACCATCTCACTGGCTCATGAGATCATGACCGGAGCTGAAATCAAGAGTCGGCCGCCCCACCTACTGAGCCACCCAGGCGCCCCCAATCTGCTACTATTTTTTTTTTCAACGTTTATTTTTTTGGGGACAAAGAGAGACAGAGCATGAACGGGGGAGGGGCAGAGAGAGAGGGAGACACAGAATCGGAAACAGGCTCCAGGCTCCGAGCCATCAGCCCAGAGCCTGACGCGGGGCTCGAACTCCCGGACCGCGAGATCGTGACCTGGCTGAAGTCGGACGCTTAACCGACTGCGCCACCCAGGCGCCCCTGCTACTATTTTAAAACGTGGTGGGATGACAGCAAAAAAAGTGGAAACGAAGAGCACAGGAGGAAAAGAAAGTTAACAGAAGGGTCTGTGGCTGGGGCAGAAGCCATGACACTCCCTCTTCCTATCGGTACATGCTGGCACTTGGCCACAGGGAAGGGATGTCACCCTTGCACTGGGGAAGGAGCAGGACAGGAAGCTCACTTCATCGCGGGGCGACCTGATATCTCGGAAGAAATAGCACCACAGCCATAACCTTTGCCCTATCCTGGTGATAAGCTGGATGGCGGAAAACCTGCCTGTGAGGCCCGATGAGGTCCCCAGTCACAAAGACGTCACCCCCAGGCTCCTGGTCCAGCACTTACCTTCCAGCACTGGTGTTTAGCATAATATTCTCCCTGCGCGATCCATTCCTCAGGTGTCGAGGTCTTAACAAACATGCTGTCATCAAAGTCTGAAATGAAAAAGAAAAGTGGGTTTGCTTCTCTGGGCATTCGTTCCCTTAAATGTGCTCTTATGGGCTGAAGTGTGCGCCCTCCCTCACCCCAAAAATGTATATGTTGCAGCCCTAACCCCCAGGGCCTCCGAATGTGATTATACTCGGAGGCAGGGCCTTGCAAGAAGTTAGTAAGTTAAAAGGAGGCTGTTAGGGTGGACCCTAATCCGATCTACGTCCTTATTAGAAGGGAGATTAACACGGAGAAAGAGGGGCTCACACGGAGGGAAAACCATCGACAAGCCAAGGAGAGAGGCCTCAGCAGACGTCTGATCAAGGTGCTGACACTGTGGCCTCGGACTTCTCACGTCCAGTGCTGGAGACCGATACTGTACTATTCCAGAACGTAGACGATCAGGTTTGTGGTATTTTATTACGGCAGCCCTGGCAGACAAATACACCTGTGCTGTCTTTCTAGTATTCGTTCTAATACATAGCTTAGGGGCACGTGGGAGGCTCAATCGGTTAAGCATCCAACTCTTGATTTCAGCTCAGGTCA